CTTCCTTCCTTCATTCTGTTCCACTGATTAATTCTTCTAACTGTCAGGAACTTCCTCCTTGGTTCTAAGTTGCTTCCTTTCCTTGATTAGTTTCCATCCATTTTCTTCTTGTTCTGCCCTCAGGTGCCTTGGAGAATAGCTTGACTCCCTCTTCTTTGGGGCAACCCCTGAGATATTGGAAGACTGCTATCATGTCTCCCCTGGTCCTTCTTTTCATTGAACAAAATCTGTTGTGGCCCACCAGGGGAGCTCGTAGCAGATTCGGACAGTGAGTTGCCAGACAAAGAGAACCGCCGAAGAAGAGGAGTCGACTTGGGAGGAAGGCCACAGTGGGACGGTGAATGGCTCCTCCCAGAGGAAATAAAAGAGGAGCGACAGGGGAGTGGAGTTTGCAGGAGACACAATTAGTTTAGCTTCATTGGTTCCTGACTCTCTGAGGCTCCTGGCCAAGTTCTGCAGATCTCGACCTGGCAGCTCTCCAAGCCGGATGAGGTCTGTGACTGTAAATCCTCCCTCGAAAGACTTTGCTGGGTGCAAAGGAGCAGAATTCACAGTCAATGAATCAAAGGGAGTTTTGTAGGGACAAGGAGTTGGCTTCAGGCTCTTGGGAAGCCTCGCTCAGAAAAAAAACAAGGGACCTTGGAGGTCATCTAGTCCAACCCCTAGCCTGCTCAAACAGGAAACCTTATACCACTTCAAACAAACGGCTCTCCAGGCTCTTCTTCAAAGCTTCCAGTGATGAAGCACCAACGACTTCTGGTGGCAAGCAGTTCCACTGGTTAATTGTCCTCACGGTTAGGAAGGGTGTCCTTGAATTCTAGGCTGTTTCTCTCCTTGGTTAGTTTCCATCAAAGCCCCCAAAGGCAGGAAAAGAAGCAATGGATGGAAACTAATCAAGGAGAGAAGCAACCTGGAATTCAGGGGGAACTTCCTGACAGGGAGGACAATTAACCAGTGGAACTACCTGCCCCCAGAGGTTGTGGGTGCTTCATCACAGGAGGCTTTTAAGAGAAGACTGGACAGCCCCTTGTCCGAAATGGCAGAGGGTCTCCTACCTGAGCAGTGGGTTGGATTAGAAGACCTCCAAGGTCCCTTCCAGCTCTGTTATTCTTCCTTCCTTCCTTCCTTCCTTCCTTCCTTCCTTCCTTCCTTCCCTTTCCTTTCCTTTCCTTTCCTTTCCTTCTCTTCCCTTCCTTCTCCATCACTGGAGATTTTAAAGAAAAGATTGAACAGCCATTTGTCTGAAATGCTACAGGGTCTCGTGCTTGAGCAGGGGGTTGGACTAGAAGACCTCCAAAGTCCCTTCCAATTCTGTTGCTCTGTTATATTATTATTAATATTTCCGATTTATTTATTGCTGTCGTGAAAAACAATCCTTGGTCCAGAATTTGTGCTTTCCCGAGGGGGGAAGAAAGTCAGCCTGCGGAACACACGTCAGGGAAAATCAAGGATTTCGTGAAGAAAGGATGAAGGGATATTTGGCTGGAACTGTTGTGGCCCACCAGCTGGCAGTGGAGCTGGGCGCAGACTCGGACAATGAGGAGGTTGGGGAGGGACTTGGCCCAGTGTTGGAGTCTGCTCCAAATCCACGTATGCACAGAACAGTTAGGAGAGGTGAACAATGGTGGACAAGGAGTCTACTTGGAGGCAAAGCACATGGGGACACTGAATCAGAGGTGGATATTCAGCCGGTTCTGACCGGTTCTGGAGAACCGGTAGCGGAAATTTTGAGTAGTTCAGAGAACTGGCAAATGCCACCTCTGGCTGGCCCCGCCCCCATCTATTCTCTGCTTCCTGAGTCCCAACTGATCAGGAGGGAATGGAGATTTTACAGTAGCCATACCCTTGCCACGCCCACTAAGCCACGGCCATAGAACTGGCAGTAAAAAAAAAATTTGAATCCGAGAGGATGCGCCAACGTCGTGACGATTCGGACGTGCTGTCTCGATGCTCCGAGATCGCAACCGATACTTTTGCCACTGGGTGGTCCAATCGGATCTAAACCATCCCGAAGAGATGGTGAACAGGAAGAATACGTCTTGCTGACCTCAGGGACATCGCAAAGTNTTCAAGTTTGTCCAGAGCCTTCTGTATCTTTAGCCTCACTTCTGGAGTGTTGGCTATTCCTGCCAGCTTGGTGCCATCTGCAAATTTGATGAGTTCTCCATTTATCCCTTCATCCAAATCATTGATGAATATATCATCTATCCAACTATCATCTATCTTTCTATCTATCATCTAGCTATCTTTCTACCTCTAGATATACTGTAGATACCGTATAAAAATCATAAGATATAGTTTGAAAAATTTGATGGATCAAAATAGAAATCCTAAAAGGGAAAGCAACTCAAGAAGCATGGGAAACTCTGGGAAAGAAAGATAAAAGCCCGTCCAACACAATACCACTGAAAAAGAAAAACAAGAAATGCAGGAAGAAACCAGCATAGTTGCTCAAAGAACTCTCTGATAAATCGAAAGACAAAGAGAAAAAGTACAAAAAAATGGACATAACTAAGGCAGAAGAGCAGCAGGTAGCCTGAATCTGCAAAGATAAAATCAGGAATTCAAACGCTCAGAATGACTTGCAACAGGAGTCAAAGATGATATTCTTTTAAAAAAAGTTTATTTAAGCACATAAAAAGAACAAGGAAAAAACTCAAGGAGGCAGTCAGTCCCTCAATTGAGAGATGACGGGAAGGAAGCAGGAATGAAAGAAACATCACAAGTCCCCAGTTTCTGGATAGAGGACCAGAGTGTGAGAAAGACACAGAGCCTCTATAAGCGTGAGAAAGGATTTTGTTTCCAGATATACATGTAAGTATAGATATATAATATAGATTGGTAATTGTAGCTCGCTAGAAACTAGAATAACGGAGTTATTGGAAGGGCCTTGGATCTAGTCCAACCTCTTGCTCAAGCAGGATACCCTATTCCAGTGGTCTCCAACCTTGGCAACTTTAAGACTTGTGGACTTCAACTCCCAGAGTTGACTCCCAGAACTCTGGGAGTTGAAGTCCACAAGTCTTAAAGTTGCCAAGATTGGAGACCACTGCCCTAGACCATTTCAGACAATGGTCCAATCTCTTCTGAAAAACCTTCTGGTGGCAACTTCTGTTCCACTGGTTAATTGTTCTCACTGTCAGGAAGTTTCTCCTTAGTTCTAGATTGCTTCTCTCCTTGATTAGTTTCCATCAATTGTTTCCTGCCCTGCCCTCAGGTGCTTTGGAGAACAGTTTGACTCTCTCTCTCTTTTGGGGGGCAGCTCCTCAAATATTGGAAGAGTTGCTGTCATGTCACCCCTCGTTCCTCTTTTGGTTAAACTGGACATACCCAATTGCATCAGACACACACAATGTCAGTGAAAACTTGGAGAGCTGCAAGATCAGGAGAGAAACTCATCAGCTCGGCTGATTCAAAGTATCACACACACACACACACCCCGTCCCACCCAGCTGAACCAGCCATGGAAGCCCCCTCCCACTCCGTGTGCCAAGACCTCCAACCAGTGGTGAAATTCAATTCTTTTTTTACTACCGGTTCTGTGGGCGTGGCTTGGTGGGCATGGCAGGGGAAGGATACTGCAAAATTCCCATTCCCTCCCCACTCTGGGGCCAGCCAGAGGTGGCATTTGCCGGTTCTCCGAACTACTCATAATTTCCGCTACCGGTTCTCCAGAACCGCTCAGAACCTGCTGGATTTCACCCCTGTCTCCAACTCTCCTCTTCTTTTCCCGCCTTCGGCGTTCTCAGCAAAACAACAGAAATGGGACTTAAGTTCTCCCTCTTAAAAGGCAGCAATAAAATGCCTTTTAAGTTATCATTTGGGCACTGTAAACTGTTGTGGCCCAGCAGGAGCTGTTGGAGCTACCACCAGACTCCAACAGCGAGGGGTCCTATGAGTCGGCTCTGGAGGATGTGGAGGACCCTGGACAGGGTTCCGACTCCGAGCAGGGTGCAGAGAG